ATACTTTAAAATTCACTTATTTAAGCATAGTTATTTTTAATACATTTATAGAGCTGTGAAACCGCTAAAGTCCAGTTTTAGAACATTTCTATCACTCGCAATCTCAAGTCCTCTTAAACCTATTTGCAGTTAATCACCCCTCTCATCTTTAGCCCAAACCATCTGATTATCTCCCTTCTGTCGCTGTATAGTTGCTTTTCCTGGGCATTGTTTAAGGAATGAACACATACAGCATATAGCCTTTTGTACCTGGCTTGTATTACATAACAATTTTCAAGGTTCATCCGTTATCAGTACCCCATTCCTTTTTCTGGCTGAATAGTTTTTCATTATATGGATATACAGTATTTATTTTTCTATTCATCAATTGATAGACATTTGAATTGTTTTCACTTTTGATTATGGATTATCCTATTGTGAACATTCCTGTACAAGTTTTTGTGTGAACATGTTTTCAATTCTGTACCTAAGGGTGGAATTGCTGGGTCATATGGTAACTGTGTGTTTAACTTTTTAAAGAACTTTCAAACTGTTTTCCAAAGTGGCTGCACTGTTTTTATTCCCATCAGAAAATGTGTGAGGATTCCAGTTTCTCCCTGTCCTCACCAGCAGTTTTCTATCATGTGTGTTGGGGGGTGGGGAGGGATCTGGGATTGAACCCAGGTCTTCACCCTGAACAACATCACTACCTCCCCCCCTTTATTTTATTTTTATTTTGTAGATGGGGTCTTGCTAAGGCATTAAATTTCCCAAGCTGGGTTCGAACTTGTGATCCTCCTGGCTCAGCTTCCTAGAGTACTGGGATTACAGGCATAAACCACCATGCCTGGCTTTTGTCTGTCTTTTTGATTGTGATTTTATTCTGATGTTAATTTGCCGAGGCTTTGATTTTTGGTTGTATTTTATTTATCTGGTTTGGCTCACTTTTAAAGATTGCTTTTTTAATGTTATAAAAATTAGAAACTGAAATACTTGGTCTCCTTGCAGAGAGCACATGTCTCCTACCGGGAGACAGAGAAACAGATTATAGCCGAGTGCGGTAAGTGCTCTGATGGAGTGAAGCTGGCGATGCCTTGAGGAGTGGAGCAGAGGATGCTTAATGCAGCTGGGGAGCAGAGATGGAGGAAAGTATTTAAGAAGTCTTTTCTAGCAAGAGTCTTAATATGCCTCTTTTTATTATCAAAATTATCCTTGTCCATAGTTTTAAAAGTCAAATCTACAAGATTTACTTTTAATTTAAAGAAATCTCCTTTTCTTCCTCCATTCTCTGTGCCCCCAAAACAACTACTTTCTATTCTTTTAATTCTTTGGATATTTAAATAGCATATTTTTATTTGCGAGAGAAAAATTCAGTCCTGACATGGGCCAGTCACTAGTCTCACATTCACTGGTTTTTAAATTGTCCAGCCCCATTAAATATTAACATATGGTTGATTATAAAAGCCACTGTCACACTGCAGCTACCTTCGGTCAATCTAAATGAAAGAAGATGAGCTTGCCTAGCAGTTAGATACTAACAGAAGTAAGACAATTTATACCTTTCAAAAGTAGCTGGAGAATTTTTTTCCTCATTGATACTTTAGGTTCATATAGCTTCAATAAGCCAGCATCCAAATACAACTGTTAATGAAGAGGAATTTTATTTTCATTCATATTTTTAAGGTGGAAAACAAAGTCACAAACAAATAGCATGGTATAGTACCAGGATTAACAAACTATGACCTGGAGGCTAGGAATTGTTTTTTTTTTTTCAGATGAACACTTAAAATCATTTTTCTCATAGGGTACAGTAACTTTCAGCCTCAGTAAGCAAAATGTTATCCTTCTTTGGTAGACCTGTTTTTTTTATAAAACTTTGTGGTCAATTATTATTATATTTTAAATTTCATTAATAAAATTTGTGGAAATATGTTTTTTCTCATTGTGTAAATATCTCCATAATATCCTCAGTTTTACTTTTTGGCCCATGATGCCTAAAATACTAGCTATCTGGCCTTAACAGAAAGGTTTGCTGACTCAAAAAGAGGGAACAGAAAGCATTTGACAGATAGTTGCTGTGGGACCTTGGGAAGTTGCTCCATTTCTCTGGTTTTTATTTTCATTATTGATAAAATGGAGATAAGAGGTCATGCATCAATGAGATAAACTCTACATGAATGCCCCAGTCCTCTTTTTTATTGAGTATATGAATTTATTTGAGTTATTCTTATGTACCAAGAACTATTAAAGGCATTAGGGATATAGCAGGAAATGAAATACCTGTTCTGGAAAAGAGTACTAGTCTACATGAAAAGAGATTTAAGATGCAACATGTGGTCTGAGATTGGATCCTGATTTGAACAAACTATCTTTATACTATACCATTTTTGAACTTGGAATATTGGGGGGGTTATTAGATGAGATGAAATTTTACATGTAATAGAGAAGGTTGTTTACTGAGAAGCTGCTGCAAAACATTATGTACAGTATTATCTCATTTTGGTAGAAATGCATATATGTATTATGGGTACTTAGAAAAATCTGGAAGGATATAGACTAATGTTAATAGTGATGATTTATGTGTGGTGAGAATATGTTTATGCTGACTTCAGATTTTTAACAATGAACCTATACTGCTTTTGTAAAAAGGAAAGATTATAATTTAAAAATCTCTACTCATGGGACTTACATGCTAGTGCCTCTTGTAGTTATTCACGTTGTTAAATCTGTCACTTTCTGAGGAACCTGTTTAAGAATGGAGAGTAATCCATCCTTTCCTGCCCACTGCAGGTAATAAAGTATCCGGGAGCTGTCTGAAGTAGCTGCAGAGTGTCAAGAGATGTTGTTGGCAATTCCTTTGCAGTGTTACTGGTAAATAGAGCTTCCTTATACCAAAGATTTTCAACTAGTGTGGGATTTTGTAGGGTGATCAACAGTTAGAAAGACCTTAGAGGCAAAGGTTAACAGTGTCTGTCTAAACACTGTTCAGGAAAGAGACCCCTGCCTAAGAGCTGTCTGATCTGATACCAGAGATTTGTGGTTTTTTGTTGCATCAGTGAACATCTGAATGCTGAATCCTGATGCAGTTAAGCATTTGCTACATGTAACTACTCCTCTTACTCTTATTCTAGGGTAAGGGTTGACCAACTACAGCCTGTGAACCAAATCCATCTCACCATCTATTTTTGTCAATCAAGTTTTACTGGGACACAGACACACTTAACTTGTTTGCATATTTTCTATCATTGCTTTTGTCCCACAGTAGCAACATTTAATAGTTTTGACAGAAATGGTCTGTAACTCACAAAGCCCAGAATATTTACTCTGAAAGAAAATGTGAGCCTTGTTCTAGGTTCAGCAGAAGACTCTCAGTAGGTATTGCAATGGGGAGAGCCCACTTACGATATTAACAACTTGATACTGATTTATAAATTTCATTATTTCCTGAGCTGTATTAGCATGTGTCAGGATTTGTAATTTTATTTATTTATTTATTTAGGTACCAGGGATCAAACTTGGGACCTTGTGCTTGGGAGGCAGGTGGTGGCACCACTGAGCTAAATCCCTGGCCCAGGATTTGTAATTTTAGGTGAGTCTAGATTGGATTTCTTACCCTAAAAAGCTGAGGTGAAGGCCAGACCATGAGAAATCAGAGAAATCAAGGTAAATGCTACCCTGTAAGCCTTATCAGTAGATAGCTAGTTGGAATTGCATTCATCTAGCTAAGATATACTTATGCTCCCAATTTAGTTCAAGTGTCACCTCCTCTTGGAAGCCTCTTCTGACTCCTTACCCTGATTTGACTGCCTGTGCCTGTGCCTGTACTTCCATTGCACCCTTTGCAGACCTCTATCATGACACTTAAGGTGCTGCATGGTAAATCCTCGATTTATTCCTTTCTTTCCACCAGAAAGGGCAAGGACCACAATTACATGTTCCTTGGTATGTTGACCATGTCTAGTATAATGCCTAACATAAAGTAGCTTACTAGCAGTGTATCCTTGGCCATGCCAGTTCTTCTACCCTTAGAGCGGGTAGCACTCACACCCTTAATCCTGGGATTGGTGAATCATTCCCAGCATCACATCCTTGATCCCAGCAGCACACACCCTATATTTAGCCACTTCCAAAAAGCCCCACCTGTGACTGCATGAGGCTTTGAGGGGTCATCTAGAGACAAGCCATAGCAATGAGATCATATTAGGTATTCAGTGAATACTTGTTGAATGAATAAATGAATTACAAATAGAAAGTTGTTAGAATTGTATTGGAAATTATGAAAGTCTGTATCACCTAAAGTAATGTGGAGTGGCTTTGTTTGCTCTAACCAACAATACACTTTTCTGACTTTGCCAAACCAGACTGGAGCATCATTCATTTATTCTTTTTTTTTTTCTTCTGTTTGTGCTGGGAACTGAACCTAGGGTCTCACTTGCTCTAAGCACACAATCTACCACTAAGCTATACCCTCAAACCCTCATTCATTTATTTCATCATCACTTATTAAGTGTTGATTGTGTAGCAATACTATGCTTGATGTTAGGGACATAGCAGGATATATTCCATCTCTGCCCTCATGGGATTTTCATTCTACTGGTAAAGATGGGTCAATAAACTATTGTACTGGTATGTAAGAATGTATTGTAGACTATGACAAATAATAAAGAAAAATAGGCCAAGTTGGAGCAGTTGAAGAAGGCTATTACATAACTAGCGATCTGGGATAGATTATTTAAAGAGATAACTTGTATGATGAGATTGGAAGAATAAGCCAACCATGAAAAGAGCTGGGAAAAGAATATTCTAGATGGATTAGAGTAAGTGTAAAGGCCTTGAAGTCAGAAAGGATCTGGCATGTCCAAAGAATGGATGAAAGCAAGGGAAGCAAGAAGGGTAAAGAGGTTAGATTCATTCTAGGAGTAGAAGTAAGCCATTTAATGATTTTAGGAGGGAGAGTGATACGATCTGTCACTCGGTATATTTTAAAAATACATTATTTTGGTACTGGGCATCGAACTGGGGACCTTGTGCTTGTGAGGCAGGTGGCAGCACCACTGAGCTAAATCCCTGGCCCTTAAAACAATTTTTAATTAAAAATCTGAGAGCTAAAGAGAGTAAGGGCCCCCAAAGTCATCCATGTCCCAGTCTTCCAGAACTTTTGAGAATGTTATGTTACATATTAAAATGGATGTGATTGATTTAAGGATCTTGAAACCTGAAGATTATCTTGGATTATCCACATGGACACACTATACAAGGGTTCTTATGAAGTGGGGAGGCAGAAAAGCCAGTGTCAGAGGAAGGAGATGGGATGTAGAAGCAGGGGCTCTAGTTAGGTAGAGATTTGGAGATGCTGTGCTACTCCCCAGAAGATAGAGGAAGGGGCCATAAGCCCAGAAACATAGGCATCTTGATCTTGGCTTCTGGCCTCCAGAACTTTGAGAAGTAAGTTTCTGTTGTTTAGGGTACCATGTATAGTATTTGTTATGACAGCTCTAGCTGACTTATGTACTAAGTAACTTGGGAAAACAATATTTTGACTGTATACTGTAACATAATGGTCCTTAAACTAAAGTGTGCATCAGAGTTGTCAAGAGGGCTTGTTAGAACTCAGAATGCCAGTCCTTGCCCCAGAATTTCTCATTCAGTAAGTCTGGGTTGGGGCCTAATAATTTGCATTTCTAACAAGTTACCAAGTGGTGCTAAAGCTGCTGCATTAGGGACCACACTTTAGAATTAAAGACTACCTACTGTCACTCATAGGTTTCTTTCCCACAGGGCTATGGGTTAGTAATTCTGAATCTATGTATGTTCTAGTATTGAGCAAATATGTGACTATATGGTGAATAATGAGAGCCAGATTTTACTCTGTCAGAAGAAAAAGTTACACAAAAGCAAAGAGAGAAGACTAGAATGAGCCTTGTGGTGATTGGAGGTATTAGTATGAACACATTGTTTTACATGTGCAAACATACACACCACTCTATTCCACATTCCAACAGGGATAGATATAGAAATGGAAAGAGACATATATTTCCTATCTCTTTCTGCTGAGAAGGCCCAGAAGCAGTGATAAGTCACTGCTACTGAGCCCACCTAGTACTCAGATTTGGGGTTTTTAAAAAAATTCATTTATTTATTTTTGGTGCTGGGGATTGGACCTTGGACCTAGCACATGTTAAACATGAGCTGTATCTTGGTGTTAAAAATTCTATTAACCAAATAAAGGAATTTGAGCTCCTTGTAGAAATTATGATTCTAGGGCTAGGTCAGGGAGAGTATGAGATAAGCTTGGAATGTCTTCTTTTGCCAGAAAATAAGAAAATGCTTATGGAATAATGGAAACATGTCAAAAAGGCACAAGAGTCAATTGAAAGGGGTTCTTAATGGTGAGGTCTGGGACATTTTAAGCAACAAAATAAATAGTGATAGTAATGGGTTATTACCCACAGATTAAAAAAAGAATCCATACTTATATAAAGATATAACTGAATAAATGAATGGGGAAGACAGGAAGGCACTTTTTAACAGTAGAATTCCAATTAACTAATGTAGAAAAAATAATAGAAATAGAAATTTATCATTTGACAGTTGCCACAATAATATTGTTTCAGTCAAGAATCATCAATGGGTGCTAAAATTAATGGACAAAAGCATGAAGACAAACAGAATATCTATATAGTTTCATAGTATCTGCCCATAAAATGCTTATTTTTATAAAAGGTAAAATGCATAACTACTCTAGAGACACCTGGGAGATACCACCTTATCCAAGTGATCAAAGTAAGCATCACTCCTGATGGAACAAATTGACATCATGTGCCTCTTGATATGATGCATTGAGAAGGGCATACCACCACATGTCTGTAGTACTCTTTTCAGAACACATAATCTAAATTTAGTCATGATGAAATGCCAAACCCCAAATTGAAACTAGTCCGTATATTTTGGAAATATTACGATAATTAAAAACAATGAAACAGGAAAGACCGAGAACTGTTCTAGATAAAGGAGCCTAAGAATTCAGATGTGATCCTGGACCTAGAAAAAGATATTGGTAGGCCACCTGGAAAAAATTATATATGATCCATAGATTCGATTATAATATTGCTTGAATATTAATTCTTGACTTCTAACACTATACTCTGGTTTGTAGGATGTTAACATTTGGAGAATCTGGATGAAGGGTGTATAGGGATTCTTTGTACTATTTTTGTAACTTTTTTGGTTACAAGTCTATAATTACTTCAAAATTAAAAATTGAAAATAAAACTTGAGTTATTTACCTTCACCCCCCCCCAATATTCCTGGCTGATCTGATTGCTCTGTGCTGTGCGGCCTATGGAAGGGACAGAGTGGGGAGACCAGTCGGGAGGATGTTGCACTGCACCAAGAGACAGATGATGGTCGCTTGACCTAGAGAGGTGATGGCAGTGGAGATGAAGAGGGTTAAGTGGATTCAGAATGCATACTGACATTTCATTGTGAAGAATACTGAAGGGAGAAATAGGATGGAAAACAAACTTATATGAAAAGTTAGCTCTTTAGGCAGTACCTTCTGGTAAAACAGAGTAGACCCTACATGCCTATACATGTTTCATTTAGATATTTTTGATTCAGAATCCTCTATTTTGTAATCTGGACTGTTCATCATGGAATTTTTCTCCTTCCTTCCTTTTTTTCCCCCTCTTCTTGCTCTTCCCCTTCCTCTTCCTTCTCCTTCTCTGATTTGTTCTTCTTTTGGATTGAAACCAGATCCTTATTTGTGCTAGGCAAGTGGTCTGCCACTGAGCTACATCACAAGTCCCTTTTGTTTTGAAACAGTCTCACTAAATTGCCCAGGCTGTCATCAAACTTGTGATCCTCCCAGCTCAACATCCTGAAGAGGGATTTTAATTTTCTTTATATTTTCCCCCAGAGTTTTTAGTAGTGTTCTTTTCATCAAAGGGGAAAAAATAAAATGGTTGTTCTTTGATTTCCTCCTGTGTTTACCTCTACCTAGGAACTTTTTCTTGCTAATCCTTCTCTTCTCTTTTTCAGGAGGGGTTTTAGTTTTTTCACCCAAATTGTGTCCTTTACAAAAACCTCACTGGTCTAGTTGGAATTCCAGATGATACACCTTTTCCAACATTTAGGTCTTTACCTAAGATACTCTCTTACTAAAATTTTGTCTTTTAAGGCTCAGCTGAAGAACTGCCCTTTCCCCAGATGCCTTCCAGGATCTACTCAAGCTTGAAGTAATTCCTCTCTTTCCTGGGTAAGTCATAGCTCTTAAGTTTGTTCCTTTTATTTGGTCTACATTCACACATCCACAGGCATGCTCATTACCTTGTACTGATTTGTATTCATGGCTTATATTCTCTACCAGATTTTAAATTCTTTGAGAGTAGGTACATGTGTTCAACTTTAAATGAATTTTTCCTGTTGTCAGATGCAAAAGAAACTCAACAGTAAAATAAGCAGATAATTATCACCATGTTCTTGAAATCTAATCTACATTTTCCCTTGTTTCTATTGAGGGCTTTTCCTGTGAAATGTAGTAACTTCTTTTGTCCCCAGTGATTTCCATTGTCACTTCTGGCAGTATTTCTGTTCCATTGCTTTGGTGGAGTTGCTTCCACCAGGGGGAGCTCCTTACTTCAGATAGGTCAATTCCCCCTCCCCCACCCCCCCTTTTTGGGAGGAAAAAGACTTCCTCAGATGAAATGTCAAATAGCAGAAAAACATGTCAAATAGTAGAAAAACAAATAGTAGGAGACAGGAACTGAGCATCTCCTGAGACTGCACTTGGTCCTAGCACAAGCTGGCTACTCAAATGCCATTTCACTTGACGTACTGTGTTTTTGTATGATTCTGGCTTGTATGTCAAGCTTTTCCCCCTTCCCAAGTACTTTATTCATTCTATCTACAAATGTATATTGACTGCATACTTTGGGTTTTTTTTATTTCTTTTTTTTTAAATTAAATTCTTTTATTGGTACATTGTAGGTATACAACACAATTACATTTCTCATTAGGAATTGTACCTTTACATAATGCATCTTGGTTCTTATTTTTTCCCCATTCCTAGCCCTCCATTCACGCCCTCCACCCTTCCCTATTT